TACATTTCTCTATGCATAAAATTATTCGTATCATATGAAAACAAGTAATTTGAATTTATTTTTTATTTGTGTGCCTTTAACTTCCTTTTCTTGCCTACTTGCTTTGATCAAACCTTTCAGTGCAGTAGCCAATAATAGTGAACATAATGGTATCTTTGGTTCTAAATATTAGCAGAAATACTTTCAGCTTTTTGCCATTGAAAGGATATTCTGTGAGTTTGTGATATATTCGCTTCATTGTGTTGTGGTATGCTCCTTCTATATTTGCTCAAGATTTGCTCATAAATAGATGTTGAATTTTATTGATACTTTTTTTTGCATTTGTTGAGATAATTATAGTGATTTTTATCCTTCCTCCTAATGTGATTTATTTGGTTTAATTGATTTTGCCTGTGTTGACTTATTCCCTACATCCTTAGGATACAACTGGCTTGATTATGATGTCTGAACTCTTGATGTGGTATTAGTTTCATTTTGGTACTATTATGAGAATTTTTATTTGGAAGGTTTTTTATTTTTTAATTCAAAAGACAGTGATAATCATTGATCTCTCTGTTGGTTCACTCTAGTTTTGAAATGTTTCAGAATGTTTGAAATAGTTTTAGAAAGATTGATGTTAGTTCTTTTAAGAAAGATATAATTTAGTACCATAGCCATTCTGTATTGACCTTTCCTTGGCTTTTTTTTTTTTTTAAGATTTATTTATTTATTTGAAAGGCAGAGTTACAGAGAGGCAGTGGTAGAGAGAGAGAGTGAGGTCTTCTATCTGCTGGTTCACTCCCCAGATGGCTGTAATGGCTGGAGCTGCACCGATCTGAAGCCAGGAGCCAGGAGCTTCTTCTGGGTCTCCCACGTGGGTGCAGGGACCCAAGGAATTGGGCCATCTTCTACTACTTTCCCGGGCTATAGCAGAGAGCTGTATTAAGTGGAGCAAGCTGGGACATGAACCAGCACTCATATGGCATGCTGGTGCCACAGGCAGAGTCTAAGTCAACTATACTACAGTGTTGGCCCTCATTGTTGCTTTCTGTATCTCCTTGATTTAAATTTGGTAGAGTACATGTATCCAGAAGTTAATCATTTATTCTAGATTTTCCAATTTATTGGTTTATAGCTGTTCATGAAAGTCCCTAGTGATTTATTATATTTCTTTGATATGAGTTCTTAGGCGTAGTATTTCTTTTCTTGCTTGATTTTATTTACATGAATTTTCAGTTACTCTCTCAGTCTGCCCAAAGGAGTACTGATTTCTTCCTTTTCATAAGCCCATTCTTCATTTTATTTATCTTTAACATTATTTAAGATTCTTTTTTTTATTTCTGTTCTGATTTTTATTATTCATTGCATTGCACTGCCCTTGAATTTGGCCCACTGTTGTTTTTCTAGGTCCCTGGGATGGGTAATTAGGTTTTTTATTTAATATCCCTTTCTTTTTTTATTTTTCTTTTTTAGATGCTTGGCTACCAAATGTCATAGTTTTTAGTTTCTGTAGTTGTTTGTCTTTCTCAGCCTTCTAGTTGGCTTCCTGAAATTTTGCAGAGGTCAGAGTTTATTTTCTAAGTTTTCCATAACAAAATACCACAGAATATGTGGCTTAAATCACAGAAAAGTATTCCCTATACTTCTTTAAGTTAGACATCCAAGATCAAAATTTTAGCAGGTTTGATTTTTCTTGTGGTCCCCCCTTGGCTCCCACACAGTCAGTACTTTGCTGAATACTCACATGGTATTTCCTCTGTCCTTGTATATCTCTGATTTCTCTTCTTATAAGGGATTCATGCTTACATCATTTGGTGTTAATCACCTGCAGCAAGGCTCTGTCTCCAAATAGAGTCACATTGGTGGTTAGCTCTTTAAGATATGAGTTTTAGGGAAACACACTTATAGAGTGGGAAGTGGCCCAGTGGGTCACTTGATGAGGATTTGGCTTTTGAATGAATTTATTGTTTCTCACAGTATCATTTTTAATAGTCTCTGTGAAGATTAGCATGTATATGCATACACATATACACACAAATGCCTCAATACACATATGCAGGATAGAATGGAAAAGTATGATGATTACATACAAATAAAGTCAATACAGTGATCCATAAGATGGAATATTAGGAAATGTTAAAGAATATAAATAGGAAGAATAACAATATATATGATATCCAATATTTATATTTTCTAAAAGATAAACAGAAATATGAGAAATAAAGCAATACAAAAATCATAAATTCTAATCCTATAGACCTTGCAAATTTTAAATCACTCTTATTCAAACCTAGTACTTGTGACAGTCTTACATAGAAAAGATACATTCCAAAAAATGAGTCCAGTTTCATTGTAGCTAAAATCTTAATTAATCTTTCTTGATTTTCAGCATTATCTATTAAATTAAACACGTAGTGAATCATTGTCAATTTATCTGCTCTCTAACTATATTTTATAATACTTAATAGCTTTTGAAATTTATAATTCCATATGTTTTTCAGCATATGCATTGATATTACCATTTCAGTGAAGTTGGATGTGACCAATGCCAAGATTTAAAATAAAAAAATTTGCATTAAATGACACAGGTAATCTTAACATTTGCAAAGCCTCTAAAGCACAGTCATTTATAAGATACTGATATTTGAGTTTAATATTTAGCTTATATGTCAGTATTATGTGGCAGAAACATAATGATTCACAGATCACAGAAGCATTAAAGTTGTATGTTTCCTGGAGAGAATTCTGGCATGGCAATGTGAATAGCTGTGTAGACCCTCATTCTAGCATTTCTAGACCTTGTAAAGTCTAGAAATAGTCCCAAAAATATAGTAAAGGAATACTTTTATTAATATTTATTTATTTGGAAGGCAGAGTTACAGAGAGAGCGAGACAAAGATCTTCCATCTACTGCTTCACTCCTCACATTTGCCACAATGACAAGGGCTGGGCCAGGTTGAAGCCAGGAGTCTAGAACTTCATCCTGGTACGCCACATGGGTGCAGCAGCCCAAGCATTTGGGCCGTATTCTGTTGCATTCTCAGGTGCATTAATAGGGAGCTGGATCAGAAATTGAGGAGGCGGGACTTGAACCAGCACTCATAGAATGCTAGTGGCTTAATATGATGAACTACGATGCTGTACTCTAAAGAAATATTTATAGAATAAAACTAAGATTAGGTAAGAACAGGGAGTGTTATTTGAATTCATACCTCGTTCCTCCTTCCCCATCCTGATTTGTGAAATCAGTGAAACGGAAACTACTCCATACAACTGCAACTGAGAACACAGGGCTGCCTTTCCTACCAACTGCCAACTGGGAGGCAAGATATCTTCATTCCTTTAGTCATTGGTAACTTGCTGTCACAGCTATTTTCTGGGGGAGCACAACTGAGAAGTAGGACCCAGACACCACTTGAGTGATAGAGGCTCTATATTGAACATTATTACACTTGAATCCCATATTCCATTACATGGGATATACACAGAAGGCAGCTGTACAGGAATTGAGAATTGTGATAGCTTTGTTTTGGAAGTGCTTGTGATATGGAGGAGACAGCAAGAGTACTGAGTTTCCGCATCTCCAATCCCAGTGAGAACAGCTTCTGCTGGCAGAGGTATATGATGTCCAGGGTGAATATGCAGACCCACTACTCCATGGTGCTGAGCTAGTTCTTTGATCCCTGAAAGTTCATTTTCTATTTTAAGAAGTATGACTTTGAGACTTTTTTGTGTAATTGCTTCTGTGATCTGAGGTGAAGGTTACTAGACTAGGAAGCTCAAAACTGAGATTCCACAGCTAGCATTGTTGCGAAGCTGGTTAAACCATGGATGCTATGAGTCCTGGCTGCTCTGCTTCTGATCCAGCTCCCTGCTAGTGTGCCTGGGAAAGCAGCACAGGATGGCCAAAGTACAAAGGCCCCCTGCACCTGTGTGGGAGACTCAGATGAAGTTCCTGGCTCTGACCTGGCCCAGTTCTGGCCATTGTGGCCATTTGGGGAGTGAACCAGTGGATGGAAGCACTCTCTCTATTTTTTTGTAAATCTGCCTTTCAATTTTTTTTTTTTTTTTTTGACAGGCAGAGTGGACAGTGAGAGAGAGAGACAGAGAGAAAGCTCTTCCTTTTTGCTGTTGGTTCACCCTCCAATGGCCGCCGCGGAAGGCGCACTGCGGCCGGCGCACAGCGCTGATCCGATGGCAGGAGCCAGGTGCTTATCCTGGTCTCCCATGGGGTGCAGAGCCCAAGGACTTGGGCCATCCTCCACTGCACTCCCTGGCCACAGCAGAGAGCTGGCCTGGAAGAGGGGCAACCGGGACAGAATCCGGCACCCTGATCGGGACTAGAACCCGGTGTGCTGGTGCCACAAGGTGGAGGATTATCCTATTGAGCCGCGGCGCCGGCCTCAAATACATTTTTTTTTTTTTTTTGACAGGCAGAGTGGACAATGAGAGAGAGAGACAGAGAGAAAGGTCTTCCTTTTGCCGTTGGTTCACCCTCCAATGGCCGCCGCGGCTGGCGCGCTGTGGCCGGTGCACCACGCTGATCCGATGGCAGGAGCCAGGAGCCAGGTGCTTTTCCTGGTCTCCCATGGGGTGCAGGGCCCAAGCACCTGGGCCATCCTCCACTGCACTCCCTGGCCACAGCAGAGGGCTGGCCTGGAAGAGGGGCAACCGGGACAGAATCCGGCGCCCCGACCGGGACTAGAACCCGGTGTGCCGGCGCCGCTAGGCGGAGGATTAGCCTAGTGAGCCGCGGCGCCGGCCCTCAAATACATTTTTAAAAAGGAACTGAGGTTCGCACATTTGCAGAGAATTAGAGAAGACTCATGTATATGGACTGAGCAAATCATATCTTAGGCATTGAGAAAACCAGTACTCAGCTGTAGGATAAGAATCAATACCCTCCTCCTACCCCTACTAAGCCCACATCAACCTTGACCATACCCATTTGGAGAAATTAGTAATAGCTATGGGAGCTTCCTGAAACCTTGGTGTTGACCTCTTTTTCTAAATTGTTGCAGAATCCAGCAAATGAAGGAAGAAAGCCAAATCCAACTCTCAAAACAGTAAGTGAAACATTGTTGGATATGATGGATTTCAGGAGTTCTAAATAAATAATTACCAGTGATTGGGACTTTTACATTTGTATAATGAGTTTGAAATGCACACACTTGAAAACTTATTATTTTACTCAAGTATATTCAATAGAATTTTTTTTAACTTTTATTTAATGAATATAAATTTCCAAAGTACAGCTTATGGATTACAATGGCTTCTCCCCCATAACGTCCCTCCTACCCGCAACCCTCCCCTTTCCTACTCCCTCTCCCCTTCCATTCACATCAAGATTCATTTTCGATTCTCTTTATATACAGAAGATCAGTTTAGCATACATTAAGTAAAGATTTCAACAGTTTGCTCCCACACAGAAACAAAGTGAAAAATACTGTTAGAGTACTCGTTATAGCATTAAATCTCAATGTACAGCACACTATGGACAAAGACCTACATGAGGAGTAAGTGCACAGTGACTCCTGTTGTTGACTTAACAAATTGACACTCTTGTTTTTGGCCTCAGTAATCACCCTAGGCTCTTGTCATGAGCTGCCAAGGCTATGGAAGCCCCCTGAGTTCACTGACTCTGATCATATTTAGACAAGGCCATGGTCAAAGTGGAAGTTCTCTCCTCCCTTCAGAGAAAGGTACCTCCTTCTTTGATGACCCATTCTTTCCACTGGGATCTCACTCACGGAGATCTTTCATTTAGGTTTTTTTTTTTTTTTTTTTTCCCCCCAGAGTGTCTTGGCTTTCCATGCCTGAAATACTCTCTGGGCATTTCAGCCGGATCCGCATGCCTTAAGGGCTGATTCTGAGGCCAGAGTGCTGTTTAGGACATCTGCCATTCTATGGGTCTGCTGTGTATCTCACTTCCCATGTTGGATCATTCTCTCCCTTTTTTATTCTATCAGCTAGTATTTGCAGACACTATTCTTGTTTATGTGATCCCTTTGGCTCTTAGTCCTATCATTATGATCAGTTGTGAACAGAAATTGATCACTGGGACTAGTGAGATGGCATTGGTACATGCCACCTTGATGGGATTGAATTGGAATCCCCTGGTATGTTTCTAGCTCTACCGTTTGAGGTAAGTCAGCTTGAGCATGTCCCGAATTGCACATCTCTTCCCTCTCTTATTCCCACTCTTATATTTAACAGCGATCACTTTTCAGTTAAGTCTTAATCGTAGACTATCATCCATCGATGGCTCACAAATTGTTTTAGCAGATGAAGGAAAGCTTCTTTTTGAAGATTTAGTAATGAGTTACACTAGAAATATTAACTTCTTTTTTAAGTATCTTAAAGGAAAGTAGAGTCATTGTTACTTTCCTCATGCTTTCAGCAAGCTTCTGTAACACAATAGATATGTGTTCTATGGCAGCAATGTAAGTACAAAAATGAAAATAGTACAATTATCAAACACTTTTCCACCTTTGAATTTCTCCATTCCTAGCACATATCTTTCAAATGCTTCTTTGTCAAGCCAAGAACTCATCATCAAAATTGTACTTAGCATATGTGTGGAGATGAGTTATCATACATCATATTAAGTCTCCAGAGAACAGGGCCAAATACCCAGGAAATAGGCAAATTATTCTTCTTGTTTTCCAATGTGGGATGGAGAAGCTTGTAGGAAATGTAGCCTCCCTTCCCCATGACACCACAAGTACAGAACCAGAGGAAGAACCTTTTCACATTGCTTCTGAGCATGGGCCACTCTGCCCATTCCTGCCTTCCTCTTCCCAGAAATTCCAGGCTCCAGATCTCTCCTGATGCTTCCCCATGAGCTTTAAATGAGTTCTGTATCCTTGAAGTTTGATTCCAGTGAGATAGAAGAGTACTCCAAGCCACAGGGAGCAATGGGGAATGAGACACGTGTTCTCCACTTGGGACCAGAGACATTGAGGTATGAGCCAAAGACTTAAGTCTGTAGGGGAGGCCTCACTGGCATTGGACCCTCAGATCTGGGACAAAGAAAAGGAAAGCATAGACTGTGCTTCCATAAATTATTTTTGTTCAGAGGTGGATGCTCTGTCAGATGGCCAGTGAGCTCTTTCAGGTATGTAGAAGCAGCTGATTCCAGAAGCTCCAGAAATGTGGCTGGGCCAAGATTGCAGTACAACAAGATATATCTGCAAACTGTTTGAGCAGGAAGCTATCTGTTGTGAATCCAGTCACTGGATTTTGCTGTTACTGACTATATGACATGTTTTCTTCTGGAGGGAAAGGACATTTATATTACCAGTGAAATTTCCCAAATTCCCAGCAAAATAAATTTGAAGTGTGTTCAAGATTTTTTACTATATACATTTGCTTTGATGGGGTTTTGTATTATCTCCTCTGCAAGTAAATTTTCTGGCCCATTCCTATGGATAGCCTGCCCAGTATTCTTGTTTGAGTTTGTAGAAATTTATACAAATTCTTCCATGAGTGAAATTAGGATACTGGATAATGATCCTGTTTCCTTTCTAACAAAGCAGTTTATTCTGAATGAAGATTTGGGCTTCATGAATTTTAATTCATCTGAGTGAAAATATGCCTATGGCCCAGTGCTCCCTCCAGTGTGTCACAGTAGAGGTAAAGGAATACCAGAAAGGTGAAGACCCTAGCTTTGCATTCCCCAAGCAATCATTGAACCTACTGCCCAGAGTGATCCAGATTTGACTGATACTACTTTACCTCATCCATACATTGCCAAAGACTGGATAATGTTGGCAATTTTATGTGAATTTTGAGAAGGGAGATGTGATTGGGTTGAGAAAGATAGACAAGGGTTTAGGGAATTTTAATATTTTTGAAGGTATGGTCTGCAGTGGAAGAACAACTTATCATATGTGAAAATCTTCCTACATTGCTCCCAAACACGCTCTCATTACTTTATGCCACCTCCATTGTTTCCAGAATTGGAGCTCTTGGAACATTGGTCTGTAAACATATTTCACATCTGGAGCTATGCAGGTAATCCCTCTTTCCTGATGCTTCTTCCTGGTAGCACCAGGGGTACTGCCAGGACCTTTATGCCAGATAAGAAAGATGACACAAAGTGTATTATAGAAGATTAATCTGTTGACAGGTGTCAAATGATGAGTAGATGTCAGGCACCCTGTCTTTTGGAGTAGTATTCTCCATTTTACCATAGGTATTTCAAAGCTCATCTTTACTTTTGAGATACATTTTTAGGAAGTGAAGTCATTGTATTGGAAACATGATTTCAGAAGACTTTGCCTTGAACAGGACTAGCCTTTTTTCTTTATAATTTATTTCTTTAAAATTTTATTTAAGGTATACAAATTCCTTACATATAGATTCAGGAACATAGTGATACTTCTCAGCTTACCCTCTCTTCTGCCCATGTCCCCACCCTTCTTCCTCTTCCCTCTTCTTACCCCACTCTTAAGTTTCACAAAAATCTATTTTCAGTTTACTTTATACCCGTAAGATTAACCCTACACTAAATAAAGAGATCAACAAATAGTATGGGGGAAAAAACCCACTTTTTAGTGTTTTGTGCAAATCCAATACTCTTCTGGTGGAAGTTTTCCTCACTTGATACCATTTAACCATTCTTGACAATCATAAATGCTGTAGATGAATATGAGTCTATTTTAAATTATTTAAAATTTGAATGACACTTTTACTGGTAATTAGTTTGATAAATACAAATAAAACACAATACAGTTCGAAAATATATGTTGAAAATTTAAGACACAGTCTTAGGAACTTCATTCAGGCAATGTTGTTTTGTGTGGCAACACCTTTCTGACACCTTTCTTCCTGGCGGGCGTATATCATGCTTATGAAAACTGTGACTGTGATGTTCTCTTGGCTCTATTTTGGATGGAATTAAATTCATTTTTGTTCACTCATCAATGTATATCAGCATTTGATGTATGAAAAATCCACAATAAATGTGTAGGTTTAAGATACAACTATTTTATTTCTAATTCTGAATCTGCATTTTGGAGTGGACTCAGCTGAAACACTTCTATGCTGGTGTTGCCTGATATCCCAGATAAGGGTCTTGGCATCTGGTAACATGATTGATGCTAGTGCACATAGGATTATTTTACTCTGTCTGGTGCTATTGACAGTTCATTTATTTGTATGAAAGGTAGAGCAAGAGGCAGGGGTGTGTGTGTGTGTGTGTGTGTGTGTGTGTGTGAGGGGGGAGAGAGAGAGTCTGCCACCTGCTGGTGCACTCTTGAAATGCCTGTAAGATCCAAGGTTAGGCCAGGCTGAAGCTAGGAAGCAGGAACTCCATGTGGGTCATCCATGTGGGTGGCAGGAACCCAAGTGTGTGTTCATCACCCTCTTCATCCAAGGCACATTTACAGAAAGTGTGGGAGTATGAAATAGCTTAGACAAAAACCAGGTGCTCTGGTATGGGATATAGTGTGTTCCAAGCAGCAGATTAACTTGCCACATTACAACATCCTTCCCTGCCATTTCTGGTTATTTGCTTTGGCTCTTGTTTTAGACCCTTTGTCTCCCACAGACAAGTATCAGGTTTCTTCACAAGATGACTGTCCGATAAGACAAACTCAACTAGACAAATGCTTTTCAAATAATATTGGTGTCATATATACTAATGTCCCAAGGGCTAAAGCATGTGAAAGGTCAAAGGTAAGAGTCATGGTGGGAAAGGGTTATATGAAGGCTTTAATTTGGGGAGGTATGTCATTTGGAATAATTTATGGAAAGGTGTACTTCATTAAAGTATATTCTATCCATTTTTCCTATACAGTTGTAGGCAAAGAAATTCAGGTTGCATGATGCATAATTTCTCCAGAATTTTAGATATGCAAAATCTGGAGATGTTCTATTGAAAACACTAAATGGAATCCTGTGTGGCATATCTGTATTAACAAGAAAATACTTAATACCACTGAAGTATTTTTCTGTAGTGCAGAAGCATGATCTTTCTTTGGTATGATATGATTCACATGAACAGTCATCCTTAAACTTATAAATTATTTCTTTGCAGTGATTTTTTTTACAAAATAAGTAACATAAATATTATCATTAACTTAATGATAAGTTGTGTTTAATCTTTACCAATTAATAGAAATGTGGATGCTCTTTCCTGACCCTTCTCATGTGCTAAGCACTATTGCTGTAAAAGGAGGCTGACTGTTTGTTTTTCTATCTAGTGTGTCTGTGATTCTGTATTCACTTCTACCATGGTCATGCTTTGTGCAGTAAAATCCAGGAGCAAGCCAGACCAGTTCTTTCATAACTCCCTCCATTCACCTTCTCTTCCAGGTATAATTCTAGAGATCTCTACGTGCTTCCAAGACAAAGAAAATGAATTCATCTTCAGTAAGCTGTTTTGTTTATTTTTCTACTTGGTATTTATTGGTCATATAGATAATGTAGTGGACAGTGGTTTAGTACCAACCTGGAAATAAGCATTCAGCATTTAGCAGTGATAGGAGTCACGTAATGCTAAAAACATAATCAGCTGATTAGGGTTCTTTTGGAATTACTAAAATTGAGTGTGGTCCTCAGTAGTTTTGGAGAGGATGTACTGGATTCATGGATTTGACCAGGGGTTTGCAGGTTTCTAAACAACTTTCCAACATTTCTCTCAGCCAGGTTGGACTGGCAGACTTTTCAAATTTATGTCTTCAGATAAGTAATCACATTCTTCATTTGGACTTTATCCTATTTAAAATAGTATTGATTGGATTTTGAATAATTACAAATAACATATAGTAAGAACCAAAAACAGTTCTTTAGTCCTTGCCTTATATGGAATTTTTGCCACATTAAAAAAAAAAAACTATATGTGAGTTAAAGATGCACAAACACACTCAGAGGTAGTTTAAGACAAATAAAGAGACAGAGCGCTCATCCACTGATTCCTCTCCTCAAATAGCTATAGCAGCCAGAGGTGGGCCATAGTTGAATCCACAAGCCAGGAATGTAGTCCTGTGTTGCTGTTGATTTCTCAACAATGTTGCAGTGGGTTCGTTTCTGAGAGGAGCAGCGTGGTGGGGGCAAGAGGTGCGGAGTCATCACACAGACCCCAGGAGTCGGGTGAAAGCAGGCTTGAGGCCAGCAGCCCACAGACTCGTTTATTTCAGTTGGTACAACATCTTATATAGCCAAGACCAGCCAATCTGGTCAAGGGGCGGTCTATGCCCCAACCAATCACAGCCTGTTGCCAGGCAGTTTCCAAAGCCATCCAATCACAGCCTGTTGACAGGCAGTTTCCAAAGCCATCCAATCACAGCCTGTTGACAGGCAGTTTCCAAAGCCATTCCTGAGTAACTGACGCTTGCTTGCCAGTGGCCACCTTGGCATGGCCTTCTCATTCCACCACAGTCCTGGCCTTCCACATGGGTGGCAGAAGACTAATTATTTGTGTCACACACTTCTTCCCAAGATCTGCATTACCAACAAGCTGGAATCAGGAGCCAGAGTGGGGAATGAAACCCAGGCTCTCTGAAATAGGCTTAGGCTACCTTAACTGACATAATAAACATAAAGCTAACTCTCCCTTTTAAACTTCTTTTCTCTGCCATATTTGAAACTATTGTACATGGTCTTCTTCTGAAAATTCTTTGTTTCTGTCATGACTTCACTGATGGTTTCTTGCATTCTACTTGGGTTTTCTATTTTATTCTCCTTAAGATTACCACTCCAAGTATCCCATGCACTCCAGTGTTCATCCTACCCTGCAATTCTCTTTGGCAGATTTGACGCTCTGTGGTCTGACATTCCTGTTTTCCTCCAGCTAGGGCTTTGACCCTAGGCTGTAACCAAGGGTGTACTCCCTTATGGATACATTTTGTAGCCATCCAAATGGCATCTCAAGCTCAAAGAGTCTAAAATGAAGGCCACGTTATTCATTCTTCCCTATACTTGTATAAGAGATTTCTGTCAGCTAGCCTTGACCCAGATCACCAACGTGGAAATTTTCCTGGACTCCTCCACTTTCATGTCTAATTTCATCTGGTGGGAAATCTTGTTTCTTCCATTTCTTTTTATTTTTTTAATATTTATTTCAAAGACAGAGATGGGGAGAGAGAGAGAGGAGGAGGAGGAGAGAGAGAGAGAGAGAAAGAGAGAGAGAGAATATGAATGAATGAGAATAAGAATGGGAATATGAATCTTCCATCTGCTTGTTCACTCCCTAAATTGCCACAGTGGTCAGAGCTGAACCAGACCAAAGCCAGGAGCCCAGAGATTCCTCTGGGTCTCCTACATGAGTGCAGGGGCCCAAGTACTTGGAGCATCTTCTGTTGTTTTCCCAGGCACATTTGCAGAGAGCTGGATCAGGTGGGGATCAGCTGGGACTTGAACTGGTACCCATATATGATGCCAGCATTGCAGGCAGAGGCTTTACCCACTACACGACAATACCATCCCTGGTTTTTCTTTTGTTCTTTAACCTTTATTCTTACGCCTACATGCACTGGATTAAAGGAGGAGGATCTGCCATTCATTAAAAACAGAATTATTTTTTATGAGAAGTGTCGCTCTGGAAGAGTGTATTTTCTCAGTGATGAGTTTTGGTCCATCTTAAGATGTAACAGGCTCAGCTATCAGTGGAAGAAAGCATTCAGGAGTTAGGGATGTGGGCACTTGTTAACCAATGTCTAGAGAAAGATGCATTAAAGGAGAGAAGAAACATAATTTTTACCTGTTGAGCATTTAGGATAGTGGCTCTTTTGGGTGGGCCTTTGGCAAAAAGCTGAAGTTGCCACTTGGGATGCCCACATCTCATATTGTGCCTGGTTCAGTCCTGATACTTTGTTTCTAATCAGTTTCCCTGCAAATGTGCATCCTGGGAGGTGGCAGATGATAATTAGTCAGTCCCTGTAGCTCACATGGGAAACCCAATAGAGTTCCACACTTCTGGTTGTGGTCTGGCCCAGCTTTAACTAAAGTGGACATTTAGGAAGTGAACTGACAGATGGATTATGTTTATTTTTTTTTCCTTCTCTGTTTCTCCTTATTTCTCTTCCCTTCAAATAAAATGAAACTAATTAAATGGAACTTTTTTAGAGATTTATTTATTTGTTTGAAAGACAGAGTCACAGAGAGAGAGGAGACAGAGAGATATCTATCTGTGTCTACTCCTCAAATGACCAAACAGCCAGGGCTGAGCCAGGCTGAAGCCATGGACTTGGAACTCTATCCAGGCCTCCCACATGGGTGGCAGGGCCCCAAGGACAGACCATCTTCTGCTGCTTTCCCAGGCACATTAGCAGTGAGGTGACTCAGAAGCAGAGCAGCTGAGACTTGAACTGGTGCTCATATTGGGTGCCGGCGTGACAGATCTACCCAATGAGGCACAATTGCTGACCACAAATGATGATTTCTAAAAATATGCCTCTTGCTTCACCCAAATCCTATATTTGATTCTGTGAGTTTGAATCCTTAACTCTGCTTCTAGTTCCAGCTTCCTGCTAATACAGACTCTAGGAGGTAGCAGGTGGTGGTTCAAATACTGGGATCTCTGACTCCCACATAGGGACCCATGTTGAATTCCAGGCACCTGGCTTCAGCACTTGGCTTCAATAGTCCTGGCTGTTGTGGGCATTTAGGGAGTGAACAAACTGGTAGATATTTTTTCTGTCCCTGTCTCTCTGTGTGTGCCTATCAAATAAAAGTAAGTAAATAATTTTAAAAATAATTGTACCTTTTGCTTACATACATGTACATGATTCTATCTGTAGTTTGCACTAATGCAGTTATGTTTCTAGCCCAAAAACAACTTGCCACATTTTCAAGCTACTTTCATTTTATTCTCTTATTTCATGTAGCCACTTCAAGTGAATACTGAAAACTAGATGTATGTATGCATCAATCACAGCAGTGACTGTAATGAGCCTCTGACTACTGTCGGTTTTTTTAAAAAAGCATCTCATTCTGATAAAATCCATGAACAAACATTTGACATTTTCAGTGTACATCTAGGTGGGGTTAAGCATACTCAGATTCCTTTGGACCCATCAGAGCATCCATCTGGAGAATTTTTTTTTTTTAATTTGACAAGTAGAGTTATAGACAGTGAGAGAGACAGAGAGAAAGGTCTTCCTTCCATTGGTTCACCCCCAAAATAGCCACCACGGCTGGCGCGCTGTGCTGATCCGAAGGCAGGAGCCAGGTGCTTCTTCCTGGTCTCCCATGTGGGTGCAGGGGCCCAAGCACTTGGGCCATCCTCCACTGCCCTCCCGGGCCACAGCAGAGAGCTGGACTGGAAGAGGGGCAGCCAGGACTAGAACCCGGCACCCATATGGGATGCCGGTGCCACAGGCAGAGGATTAACCAAGTGAGCTGTGGCTCCGGCCTCATCATCTGGGGAATTCTTAATCTCTCTCAGGTGGAACTTTGTGTGCACCAAATAGTAAGTCCCTATTTCCCCCAACACAGACCCTGACAGTCTTTATGAAATTATCTTCTCTATCAAATTCTTATAAGTAGAATCACACAATATTTGTCCTCCTGTTAATGGTGTATTTCATGGAACATTATGTCTTTAAGGTTCATCCATGTTGTAGTGTTTGTCAAAATCTTTTATTTTGAGCTTGACATTACTTCATTGTATGCTGCTACAATTTGAAGATTTTGGGGGGATAATTCCCAAATTGAGTTATTAAGAGAAAGGAAATTTTCTCTGACTCTGGTGCATAGAGATAAAGCTTTTGGGAGGTGAGGTGAATAGAATTAGATGAGGTCATCAGGACAGATCACTCGGAACTGATTGATTACCAGTGACTTTAAAAGGAGGTGGAGAGGGGCTCGCATTGTGTTGTAATGGATTAAGCCACCACCTGCAATGCCGGCATCCCATATCGGGTTGGTTCGAGTCCTGGTTGCTCCACTTATAATCCAGTTCCTTGCTAATGCACTTGGGAAAGCAGCAGAGGATGGCCCAGGTCCATGGGCCCCTGTGCCTACATCGGAGACATGGAAGAAGCTCTTGGCTCCTGCTTCGGCCTGGGCCAGCCCTGGCTAATGCAGTCATTTGGGGAGTGGGCCAGTGGATAGAAAATCTTTCTCTCTCTCTCTGTGCAACTCTGCCTTTCAAATATATAGATATTATCAAATAAAAAAGAAGAAGAAGATGTTGAGAGACCAAGATGTTTGGGTGTTCTTTATTATTGGTGTGTTACTCTCTGCACTGCCTCTCAGTTCTGCTACTGAAAAAGCCATCACCACATGCAGCCCTTCAGTATTGTTTTCCATATTGGTTCTAGTATTTTACATTCACACCAGCAATGCATTAGATTTTTAGTTTTTCCAGCCTTACTACTGCTTATTTTTTTAAAGATTTATTTTATTTATTTGAATGAGTTACAGAGAGA